AGATAAGTAGCCAATGATTTGGCTGCATAAGGGACTTGGGATTTAGCAGGAATATAATGCGAGCTTGTGGAAAAGTATGTGGATTGACCTTGCAGAATGGACCTAAAATTGGAGACTATTTGTAGAATATTTGTGGAAGCTCACCAAAAGGACTGACTGCAGCGGTGGCTGTAATCAGGGGAACAAGGTGACTTGTGCATGTCAGACATCCTCCAGCCCCACCCACCCCAATTCTTGCTCATTGGGCTCATGAACAAAGTAGTCATGGTGGCAGGGGTTGAGGCTGTGTGTGGGCTCAACCACATGGACTTCCCCTCACCAAAGCTAACCTGGCTACCAGCACTGCTGAGAATCTAACCCACCAACAGCAGAGACCAAGTTGGGCACCGTTCCCCGGCGCCCAGCCAGTCACTGACCACCCCATCCTTCACAGACACACTGAATGCCTCATACAGCATGATGGATATCCTGCCAAACCGCTTTTGACCAAAGAACTCTCTTTGTAGGAAAAGAAGTTCAGTGGATTCTCTGGTCTTGCCATGCATTCATTCATCAGAAGCAGCTGGCCTCAGGGAACAAGAGAACAGCCTATTGAAGACGGAGTTATGGTGCTGGCTCAGGGACAACACTGGGGGTGGGTTATTTTCTGAATCTGCAACCAATGTATGGGGCCGTGTCCCCATATGCAGTGGTTTGGGAAAGAATGGTTAGCCTCAACAAAGAAAATTCATCAACAGTACTGAGACTAGCTGAAATTAAAAACTTCTCACTCTTTGTAGCTGTCAGATTTCCATTAGCAGTGCTCAGTCGCTCTGGCATAAGACTAGAGAAGGCAGTTTCAGCATTGAAGACCGAGGTTGTGTGGGACAGCTTTATGCACCATCTCAAAATCCTCTCAGCCCTACTCTTCCTCCAGCCACCGCTGGGGGACCACTCCTAGCCAGCTTGACCGACTGGATCTGCACCAAGACCTTCAGGCGGCACTTCACGTAGGTGGAGGTGGTACTGCTCACCTCTTAAACAGCTCATCAGACACTTACCATATGAGCCAGCAATTCTACTCATCGGTAAGAGAAATGAAGAGATACATCCATGCAAAGACTTGTACACAAATATTCATAGCAAGAGTATTATAATAGCCAAAACTAGAAATAATTAAATGTCCATCAGTGATGAATGAGCAAACAAAATGTGATCCATCCTTGGACTACTTCTCAGCAATACAGAGGAACAAACTGCTGATACACACAATCACTCGGATAAACCTCAGCAACACTATGGCACGTAAAAGAAGCCAGGCCCAAAAGTTTACATACCGAACGGTTCCATGTGTCAGAACTTCCTACAAAGCGTGAATCGATATAGTGGTTTACTGGGGCTGGGCGTGGGAGCAGAGAATAATGGCAAACAGGCATGAGGGACTTTTTCTCGGGATGGAAGTGGTCTAAAACTGGATTGTGGTGATGGTTGCACAACTGTTTATTAAAAATCATCAAACCGTGCTCTTATGATGGAGGAATTTTATGCTCCATAAATTATGCCTTGTTGAAATGTTTTAAATAAAGAAGCTCAGCTTTAATATCAAGCAGCATTTGGCACAGCTGATCATTTCCTCCTTCTTGAAATCCTGTCTTCACTTCATACTCTTGTTTTCTCCGACTTTACCAAGGGTTCAGTCCACTCCCCCTAAGTGATCTTGCCTGTGCCTTTCAATATCGGTACTGATGATTTCCAAATTTATATGTCTGCAGCCTGGCCCTCTCTCCTGAACTCCAGACTCTTAAATCCAAATGCCTGCTCATGGTCTCCTTTGAATGTGTGATGGGTGTCCCAAACGTCATATGTCTACACTGAGCACTGCCCTCCCCAACCCAAATCCGTACCACCCTCTGGGTCCCCATCCCAGCTGATGGCAGCTCCGCTCTTCCCTGTGCTCAGGCCAAAAGCCTTGGAGTCATCTTTTACTCCTCTTTTTCTCTCCCGCCCACATCCAACCCATCAGCAAACCTTAATTGGCACCTCCCACTAAATACACCCAGAACTTCCCCCTGATGCACCCCACCACTGTGGTCCGGTCTGCTATCATCCCTCACAGGGATTGCTGCAGTAGCCTCCTCTTCCCTGCTCCCACCTTTTTCCCATGGCCTTTTCACAACACAGTATCCAAAGTGGTGCTAATAACATGTTAACTCAATCTCATTACTCCTCTGCTCAGAACCCTCTCTGGTTCCCCATTTCACTTGGCTTGATGTGACCCCATCCCATGTGACCATTCTGACCTCAGGACTTCAGTCACAGCTCCAGTCCCACTGGCCTCCTTGCTGTTCCTCGAACATGCTGGGTATTCTCACCTCAGGACCTTTGCACTTACTCTTCCCCCACCTCTAGAATTCTAAAGCAGCCCCTGATTTCCATACCTTTGTGTAATCTCCTCCTGTTGCATGTGGGTAGGACTTTCTTCTTCTATGGCAAAAGTGTTGGGGGATCACTCCCATGATTATACTACATCATATAGTAGAGGTAAAAGGATAATTAAAGGCCCAAGTATCCAAATTAGTCAGTTTTATTTTAAATTAGGATGATGATCCTGGTGGACCTGGCCTAATCAGGTGAGCCCTTTAAAAAGAGGTTTCCCTTCACGCTGAGACTTGAAGCACTTGAGACTGTTTCTCTCTGTTGCCGGCCTTGAAGAAGCAAACCGCCATCAGTTCTACAGCTTCAAGGAGATGCAGTCTGCCAACAATTTCCCAGGCTCCAGAAAGAAATGCAGCCTGGCTGACATCTTGACTGCAGCCCTGTGAGCACTGAGCAGAGGACCCAGCTGAGCCGTGGCCAGACCCACAGGAACTGTGGGATAAGAAGTGGATATTATATCAAGCTGTTACATTTGTGGTAATCTGTGACATAGCAATGGAAAACTAGTCCACCCTCAGATAGCCACATGACTTCTTTCCTTGCCTCCTTCAAGTGTCAGATGTCACCTTCACAAACAGGCCCAGACTGAGCACCCTCAGGAAAACTGCACCGTGTCCCCACCTTTTCCTCCCTAGCACTTACTGCCTCCTAACCTGTTGAAATGTGTTTATTGGGTTTTTTAAAATTAATTTATTCTTTGGAGCGGGGAGATAATTAGGTTTTTGTTTTTGCTTTAACAAAGATACTGGGGATTGAACCCAGGACCTGATGCATGCCAAGCATGCAATCTACCACTGAGCTATACCCTTCCTCCTTGAAATTATTGTTTAATGCTTCTCCCCCTCCACTAGAATATAAAGTCCCTGAGGGCTGGGACTTCTGTCTGTCTGGTTCACTGGTATTTCCAAGCATCTGGCCTGCCTGGTGCATCTTCAGATGACAGCTGTTGAACGGATGAAGGAATGCTGGCCCTGGGTGGCCATTACGCTAAGGTAATCTATGTGCATGTATTAACCAGGGTGAGGTCAGTGTGCCCACGGGACGGGCGAAAGGCCTTCTGAGGCTGCCTCCAGGATCAAGCCCTTGGCCTTCTAGCTTGGCAATACCAATGAGCTGATTTAGGTGAGAAACAAAACCAGCTGCTGACTGGTAGTCCAGGTCCGCCTGACCTGCTCCTAGGGGTGACAATGACCTCATTTCTTCCTATTGCGAGTTGGGTTCCCCAGGGAGCGGACTGAGACGGAGTTTAACACACAGGATGCTTATTACCAAGGGTCCTTGGCACCCACGCCTATGGGAGGGAGGAGGGCAGAAACAGGACTAGGCAAAGGTAGAACTTCCCATGTAGGCCTCAGTTGACTCTACAGGGAGGTCCGGAGCTGAAACAGTCCATCAAAGTTGTCCAGCATTGGGCCAAACTGGACCAGTCATTGGATGTGGGCCACTAGAGAAGGGTGTGACCTTGGCTCAGGTGGCTCTCTGTAGCTGAGGCAGGCCCTGGATGAGCTGTCAGGCAAAGGCTGTCTGCTGACCACTCTCTCAGCAGCTGGGTGGCAAGTCCTTTTTTGAAGGAAGATCCCTGCTGAGCACCTCCCTGTTCATGACCACACTGACCAACACCCCTTCCACTGAGGTAGTCTGTCTTTCTTTTATTTTTCACTATTTTCATTTGGAGATACCGTACATTAAAAATGGGGGGGGGAACCCCAAGAAATCATTGTTTTTAAATGCATAAAATGAAAGATATGGAATTACAAAAGAAACCAGTTATATTTATGATCAAGCATCAAAATAGTAACACATCTGTGATACTGTCATAAATGTGCTCCATTATTTAAAGCATCAGATAACAAGATCGAGTGGAGGTCCAATAACTGCCGTAATGTCAAAGTGATGAGTCTGATTTTTAGAGACATTTGCAACAGCTGTAATGGGATAGGAGAAGATCTGTCATTTTCATTTGTGACAAAGCCATAGGGATTGCAGATTCCACCGTGGTTTCTTGCCTCCCTCACAGTTAAAGGAAAGGCTGAATTTCAGTTAGAAGTGAGAGAAAATAAAATCTTTTCCTATCCGAGTTCCAGGTGCAAGGAAGTGGATGCTGTTGTTGGGAGTGGGGGCAGGGTTCCAGGAAATTTGGGTTCAGGAGGAGGAGAGCTTCCTTGCAGAGGAGAACTGGGACGCGCCTGTGGCTGGCCAAGGGGGCAGATGGGGAGTCCCTTCTGGCCTGGAGCGGCCCAAGTGTCCTCCCTGACCCCTCCCCCAAAGGTATTGGGAGTGGACTACATAGTTCTTGGTTGGGCCACCGCGCCCCCCGTACTCCCTATTCCACCCTAGGACCCAGGCCACCGCGTCGCTCCCATCCTCGAGCAGCTTCCTTCGCCCAGCGGCACTCGCTATCATCACCGGTCCATTAGCCATTAGCCCGATGCGGTGACCTTGACCCGGGCGTGGCCGCTGCAAATGAGTGGGCGCGCCGGGGGCGCAGGGCTTGACCCGCAGCGGCCCGCTGTGACCAGCCATGCGGCGGCCCTCTTAGACACGGCTCCGCCGGCGCGGCCCCCGGGCATAAAACGCCGGGCCGCAGAGACCGTGGCAGTCGCCGGACCCCGGACCCAGCGCACCCACACCATGGCCGGCCTCAGCCTCGCCTGCTGCCTGCTCGGCCTCCTGGCGCTGACCTCCGCCTGCTACATCCAGAACTGCCCCTTGGGCGGCAAGAGGGCCGCGCTGGACCTCGACGTGCGCCAGGTGAGCTCTGGTCCCGCGGCCCCCGCCGCTCCCTTCCCCCCGCCGGCTCCCCAGAGAGCTGAGTGGCTTTTGATTCCCCCTCTTCCACCGCTGTTGGGGGCGCAAACAGCACCAGGAAGACCCCAACCTCGGGCGCTCCTCCGTTCCGCCCTCCCCCGCCCGGCTCCGCATCCCCGGCCTCTCGGGGTCTCCCGACCCAGCCCGGCCCCCTCCCCTGTCCCCGGCTCACCCCCGCCCTCCCGCCAGTGCCTCCCCTGCGGCCCCGGGGGCAAAGGCCGCTGCTTCGGGCCCAGCATCTGCTGCGCGGACGAGCTGGGCTGCTTCGTGGGCACGGCCGAGGCGCTGCGCTGCCAGGAGGAGAACTACCTGCCGTCGCCCTGCCAGTCCGGCCAGAAGCCGTGCGGGAGCGGGGGCCGCTGCGCCGCCGCCGGCATCTGCTGCAGCCCCGGTGAGTGGGGCCGGGCCGGCGGGGACCGGGGCCGGGGGCCCGGGACGACGTGCGGCGGGCGGGGCGGCGCTGACCTGGCGTCTCTCCCCGCAGACGGCTGCCGCGCCGAGCCCGCCTGCGACCCCGAGGCCGCCTTCTCCCAGCACTGAGACCCCTCCACAGCCACCGCCAGGAATTATGAAAATGAAATAAAGCAGATTTCCGCTCCAACTCGACTGGCGTCTAAGTGTCAGAACTGGGAGGGGAGGGCCCTGACGGAGTCAAAGATCGCGGCGGGACTCGGCGCGGCCGAGGGCAGAAGAGGGAGGAGGGCCTGCGGTTCCCGCGGCGTCGTCCTGTAGGGGAGAGGGAGGAGGGGACCGTGCGGCCGGCCCCCAGGGAGATGGGAACAGACCCTGGCTTCCCGCTCCAAACAGAGCTAGGGGCCCACAGCAGGCGGGACTTGCTCCAAAGGTCCAAAGCCACAGGGTGGGACCAGCAAACCGAGATAAGGGTCTACCAGGGGACCAGAGGAAGGGAAGGCGGTCAGTGGATAGTGAAAGTCTTCCTGACATTGGGAAGAAGGCTTGAGACACACCCGAGGGCTGGCCTGCGGGAGGGGAGCTTGGCTGGGGCAGCTGAAGGGCCTTCAGCTTTCCAGGGAGCTGGAGTCTCAGGCCAGAGGAGGCCACTGGTACTCTCAGAAGAGGTGCCCAAGCTGGGGGAGCTGGGCTGGAGGACCAGCACCTCCCTCTAAGGAGGCTCAGGGTCCCCAGTGTCGGGCTGAACCACACAGTGATGAGCGGGACAGCACCGGAGACTCTGCAGGACCGGGGTTCCCCGGAGCCCACGGCCACAGGAATGACCGCAAAATGTAAAAGACACGAACAGAGAGACTCACACAACCTATGTTTCTCATCCTTTCCTGGATCAAAGACCATTTGAGGGAATCTATAAAAGCCTAATCTGTTTCCCCCAAAACATCCCCCCCCCGATTCACTCACTCCTGCTGTGGGACAAGCAGTTTCAGAAGGTCCACGCCCACACTCCCACTCCAAATAAAACAGAGCAATCACCATCTCTTAGCAATCTTTGAACATTATTTCTGTGGCTTTCTCCCACACTGGAGCAACGAGGACTCACTCAGCGGCCCCTCACCCCCACAGCAGTGTGTATCTCACAGAGCGGAGAAAGAAAAAATATGCTAAAGAGGACTGTAAGGTTTTCTTTATATAAATTACAAAAACAGGCAAAACTAAGCTATGGTGCTAGAGGTCTTAGGTGTGGTAGTGGCTGGAAGAGGGTGAGGAGATGCCGGGGTGCTGATCATATTCGGTTTCTTGGCCTGGGAGCTGGTAAAACCAGTGTGTTTCATTTATGAAAATTTGTTCAAATTGCACACATGTGATTTGTTCACTTTTGTATGTATTCTTTTAATGAAGAAAAGGTCATTATTATTAAGAGCTATGAAGAGAATAGCAGTGAGGCTCTTGAAAGCCCTGATGGTCAATAGCAACCCAGACTGTGGTTCTTGATGAGGCTGTGAGAACAGGTCCCTCCTCTGACTCAGCACCTGGAGCAAGACATAACTGAAGGCCAAGTCCCGTTTAGATCAACTATGAGGGAGTATGCGATACATATAAATGGGTATTTGAGGACCATGTCAAAGTTCTGTGGCCCCTCAGAAACCACACAGATGGAGAGGGAAGCAACTAGAAGGCACCACGCTATTTAACTAGAGAGACACACGGTTAGGGACTTGTGCATTTCCAAGCTTGGGCCACATCAGCAGGAAGTCCAGGATTTCCCTGGAACCTCACTCTCTGAGTGCCCTGCAGCCCCAGAGGCTTACACAGAGCAGAGCCATGTCAGCCCAGGTCTCCCCACCTGGAGAGAGAGTTCAGGCACCCCTCACCTCTCCAGTGTTTTCTTTTCCAGCCTCAAAATCACAGGGTCAGATTGGCACCTCTTTTCCAGGAGAAGTTCCAAAGGTGGCATCAGGCTGGGTCTGGTGAGAAGGAGGAGCCGGGAGAGCTGCCCAGGGAACGTGTGCCGAATGAAGCCGCTGGAGCGCCGGACGGTGCAAAGGCCAGCACGCTGCCTTCTTCACTCTGCCTCCTGGCTCAGCCCCGTGGCCTCTGTCCTCCTTGGAATGACTCCTTCAGTCCACCAAAGCGCTTGGGGCTTGTGCAGGGCAGTGGTTCTCAACTCTTTCCCTTTGTGTCACCAGCACTTAATGAACCCACTTTACAACCAGGAAATGAAATTGCTAGATAAAATGCCTACCCACATGTAGTTTCAAAAAACAGAATTAGTCCTAGGAGTAATATAAAGAAAAGAAGAGTAATTTAGGACAAAGTAACACTATTTTACTATCTAAGTGAACAAGCACAGCTACACTGGGTGACATACACAGAATAAGGTCATCAGGTGATTATACTTGCTTATAACAAATACGGTGAAAAGAGATTGGAAGCCACCCTCTATAAGGAGGTCGGGAAAATAAGATGGTAGAAGTACCATGAGGATCAATATTCTGTTTTGTGCCTGAAAAAAAGATGGACTCAGAGTCAATGAATCGCAAAGAGCGTATTCATGAACCATCTGGGGAAATTTGAATAATGCTTGAATATTTGATGATAACAACATGTTGTTGAGTTTTGGTTTGGGGCGTACATGTGTGTGGTAATGGTATGTGGTCATGTTTTTAATAAAAGTCCCTATCATTTTAGGTGCACACTGGCACGTTTACAGATGAGATGGTATGACAGCTGGGATAACTTGGGGGTGGGAGGGGATAGTGGGGTAGAGATGAGAGAAGTAGTCATGTGCTGTTAACTATGGAAGCTCAGGAGGGGGTGGGCCCCTGAGGGGTCCTTGTCTAGTGGCTCTGTTTTTCTGTATATTTGAAACTTCCTGTCATAAAAGCTAAAAACAAAACGATTGTAGCTGAGATAAACGTTCCAATATGAAAAGAATGCCTCGCATTTACTTTGTTAAAAATGATGTGCATTAATATCTATGAATTATGCAATGATACTAACTTGTAAATTCAAAATGCATATGTGTGCATCCCAGAGATGTGGGCACCCCAGAGATGAGCTCTTCACAGCTGCGAGAAACTTTAGGACAAAGCATTCCAGTCGGCAAACTGTAAACACCAACTGCTTCACCGAAAGTTTACTGCTGTGGTTTTTCTCTGTCTCTCTGTACCACTGAAGTCCTCAGGATGATATTGATGGGCAGCCATTTCAGTTTTCTGTAGGGTCTCTATCCATGGGGTCACTGAGTTTGTCCTGCTTCCATATCTACTAAATTTGGTATGATTTAGTTTTTAAAACTGGAATCCTGTGAAATTATACCAAAAAATGCTCCCAGTATCGTAAAAGATGATTGTCCATGGGGCAGAGCTCAGGAACATTTTTTCCCTTTCCGGATATTTTCTTCCATGTAGAGGGGTTTCCCAGAGGTAACACTCCTCCCTGGGGAGAAAGGAGTAGCCGATGGGGGCAGGTGGTGAGAGGAAAGGAGTAGGCATAACCCCACCCCTTCCTCTCTGATTCCTCCTGGGGGCCGGCTGCCATCTCAGCAAGCACGTGCTGTCGCAGCACAAATGCAGGAGCTCAGCAGGAAAATGCTGGGAAGGTCCAGCTCCTGGTGCCTGGGATGGGAGACAGCTCAGACCTCTTATTTGGCTCTATGGCGCCTCCTTGCAGATATAAGTTGCATTCTCCAATATCCACTTTATCAATGAGAAAGGTAGTCTTCTGGCTTCCAAATGTCACATTCTTTTGTTTCATTTTTTAATTGTTTCAGAATTCAGGGGTTATAGTTAACTAAGGTCAGGTTAGGCTGCCATAATAAAGACAAATGGTAAAGAGACCTTAGGGGCTCAAGGAAGGTCAATGTTTATTTCCCTCTGTTCTACCTGTCCTAGGTGAGTCCTACTCCGAGCCTAGATTCCTGGCTCTGTTCCACTCCTTCACTTAGTAGGGACCCAGGTTTCTTCTGTCGTCCCTAGGCCTTGTCATTGTCTGCAATGTCAGAGGCCAAGATGCTGTAGAGTCCACTGGGTGGGAAGGGAGAGAGTGTGGAAGAGGCTCACTTACTGTCTTAAGACCCCAAGTTCACTATTCCTCTTACTCACATTTTATTGACAAGAATATGGTCATATGGATACACCTAAGTGCAAATAAGCTGGGAAATGTAGCTACAATTCTAATACTACACAATCCCAGTCAAACTCCCAGAAGGATTTGTGTGTGTGTGTGTGAAAATGGGAAAGGCACTAAAATAGCCAAATCAATTTTGAAAAAGAACAAAGTTGGAAGAGTTACACAACCTGACTTCCAGACTTACTACAAAGCTACCACACTCAGGACAGGGTGACAGGGGAGAAAGGATAGATCTATAGATTAATGCGCCAGATTAGAGAGGCCAGAAAGAGACTCACATGTATATGGTCAAATGCTTTTGAGAAACTACAAAGACAATCGAATAGCAAAAGAACAGCCATTTCAATAAACAGTGCTGGAACAGAATAATATCCAGATGCAAAAAATGAATTTCATCACTGGCAACCTACACAAAAATTAACTCAAAGTGGATCATAGCTCAAATTCTAATCTGTTTAAAACTTTGAAAGCGTTGATGATTACCCATAAAGCCACTATAAACATTCACGTACAGATTTTTATGTGATTATAGATATTCATTTCATTTGGATAACTATGTATTTATGGGATTGCCGGATTCGATGGTAATTGTAAGTTAAACTGTATGAGCAATTATGGAACCGTTTTCCAGAGTGGTTGAATGATTTTGCATCCTCATCAATAATATATGAGGGTTCCAGTTGCTCTGTATCCTGATATTGTCAGCCCTCCTTTTTTTAAGCCATTGAAATGGCTATATCACTGTGGTTTTAACTTGCATTTTCTTGATGACTAATGATTGAACATCTTTACATGTTTTTATTTGCTATCTATATGTCCTATGTGTTTAAATAGGACATATTTATTAGGAAGTATCTGTTTAAATCTTTTGCTCGTTTAAAAAGTTGAGTCATTTTCCTATTACTAAATTTTGAGAAGGCGGTCTTTATATAGTCTAGGTATAAGTCCTTTATGAGCTGCATGATTTGTAAATCTTTTCTCCCAGTCTGTTGCTTGTCTTTTCATTCTCTTAACAGTGTCCTTTCTTTTTTCTTTTTCTTTTATGGATCATGGGTT